GCACCCTGAGGGGGGAGGGGGTCTACCACAGCAGCACCTGGCGCGAGGAAGAGAGGCGGGGGGGGGAGCGGGGCAGTGCGGTAGGGGAAGAGGCGGTAGTAGGGCACCGACTCGTCAAAAGTGACGTCCTAAGAGGGCAGGACACGGCGCGAGGTGGCGTGGTAAAACTGCCAACCAGACGCGTCCGGGACAAAGCCAAGGAAGACACAAGGAACAGCGCGGGAGGAGAGCTTGTCCGCGGACGTATCGCGGACAAGAGCTCGAGATCCCCAGACCCGAAAACGCGACGCATCGCCAACCTTCCCCGTCCACAGTAGTGTGGGCGAGGTCTCCGGCAAGGAGACACGGGGCCAGAGGTTGAGCTGATGCGCAGCGTACCGGACCGCAAACGGCCACAGAAAGTGGGGGGCAGCCGCATGGATCAAGGAGGTACGAGCGACCTCCATGACCAAGCCAATGCGGCGCTCAGCAACCCCATTCTGCTGTGGAGAGGCCGGAAGCGTGAACGACTGCTCAATGCCCTCCCCCTGACAGAAGGCCCTCAAGAGGTCGGAGGAAAACTCCCCACCTCTGTCAGAGTGTAGACGCAGGACAGGAAAGTTCGAGTGGAACCTCTCGCTGAGCTGGAGACGGGCAGCGCGGATCCAAGGGATCAAAACATCAGGGACTTCACCCTTGGTGCGCAAGGGGAAGACCGTGGTGTAGCGCGAGTAGTCATCAACAACTATCAAGAAGTACCTCTCCTGACCCTGTCCACGGACGCCGGCTGGGCCCCACACGTCCATGTGGAGCGTCTGCAGAGGAGCAGTCGTCGGGGGAAACGAGGAGGAGTGAGGAGCAGGGAAGACAAGGAGGAGCAGACGAGGGTGGGAGGGGAGGGAGAACCCTGGGAAGACCAGAGACAAGGTACCGTTTGTGCATGCTACGAAGGCGCTGCACGGACGGGTGACCAAGGCAGTGGTGCCAGAGGACGGTCTCGTGCGCTAGAGAGCGACACGAGCAGGGGGCTGATAGCTGACCTGACGCAGACGCAGACGCAGCTACCTGAGGGGACTCAGTGGTCAGTGTGTACAGGTCCGACCCCGGCTGCCGAGTGAAGGTAGCCAGGTGACGGCCCGTCCGAGCACACTTGCAGTGTGTCACGCGCTCGTAGGCAGGGGTGAACTGGTGGACACCCCCGTCCTGGAGCGCACAACCCGCCACCAAGTTCGTAGAGAACGAGGGGAGGTGGAGACCTGACAGTGTGCCCGACGGAACCGCAGGACAAGGAAGGACAGTGGAGGAGGTCGCAATGACCGGACCCCCAGAGGGGTCAGCGAGGGAGACAGCAACTGGCCGAGCAAGCTGCTCAAGGGCAGTGCGGTCACGAAAGAAACAGCGAGAAGCACCTGAGTCCAGTGTGAAGGTGTGCAGTGCCTCAGTAGACGCAGTACCAGAGGGCGCAGACTCACGAGTACCTAGAGCAGCAGCCTCACCAGCACCTGGGGCAACAGACACTCTAGCACCTAGAGCGGCAGCCTCACCAGCACCTGAGGCAACAGACACACGAGCACCTAGTGCGGCAGCCTCACCAGTACCTAGAGCAGCAGACTGGATACCGGGGTCAGGCGGCACACAGAGGTGACAGGCACTCTCAGCACTAGTAGACAATGCATACATGGCAGAGAGGATAGCATCATAGTCAAGAGCAAAGATATCTACCCTCTGCCTAAGCAGCTCCACCCAGTCGGGGAGCTCAGCGTCGTCGCCAAGCTCTGTACGCCAAGCGTCGCCCAGACGGGCGAAGCAGTGGGAATCTGTGTGACCACGTGTCCCGCAAGGCTGACCAGTCCGGACACCTGTGCGAATGACGTACGGGCAGCGAGCAGTACTCAGTGACCCTCGACTCTGAGCGTACCACTCACGAAGCTGCTGGGGCGAAAGAGCCTCGCGTAGACGACGCTGCTGCTGCACCGGGCCACTACAAGAAACTCCCGAACTACCCACTCCAGGACGACTCCCACTACTGCCACCCCGACAACCCCAACTGGCGTACCACTCACGAAGCTGCTGGGGCGTGAGGGACACACGCGGACGGCCCTGGAGCTGCATCTGGCCACGCCAGGAGCAGCAGTAGAAGCAGTAGCAGCAGCAGTAACAGCAGTAGCAGCACGGGCAGGGCAGTGCTCACCAGTGGTGGGAAGGGCAGGCGCACGAGCGAGGCGACTGCGGGGCCGCCACAGCAGCCGCTCCAGGGGCGGCTCCTGCAGTGGCAGCTGCTCCAGGGGCGGCTGCTCCAGTGGCCAGGGGCGGCTGCTGCAGGGGCGGCTGCTCCAGGGGCCAGGGGCGGCTGCTGCAGTGGCGGCTGCTCCAGGGGCGAGGGGCGGCTCCTGCAGTGGCGGCTGCTCCAGTGGCCAGGAGCGGCTGCTCCAGGGGCGGCTGCTCCAGTGGCCAGGGGCGGCTGCTGCAGGGGCGGCTGCTCCAGGGGCCAGGGGCGGCTGCTGCAGGGGCCAGGCGCGGGGTAGGTCAGGGCGACTCAGCGGGCAGGGGCGACGCGCGGGCAGGGGCGACGCGGCGGGCAGGGCGACGCGGCGGGCAGGGCGACGTGGTGGGCAGGGGCGACGCCGTGGGCAGGGCGACGCGGCCGGCAGGTGGCGACGCCGCGGGCAGGGCGACGCGGCGGGCAGGGGCGACGTCGCGGGCAGGGGCGACGCGGCGGGCAGGGCGACGCGGCGGGCAGGTGGCGACGCCGCGGGCAGGGCGACGCGGCGGGCAGGTGGCGACGCCGCGGGCAGGTGGCGACGCCACGGACAGGTGGCGACGCCGCGGACAGGTGGCGACGCCGCGGGCAGGGCGACGCGGCGGGCAGGTGGCGACGCCGCGGGCAGGTGGCGACGCCGCGGAGAGGTGGCGACGCCGCGGGCAGGTGGCGACGCCGCGGGCAGGGCGACGTGGCGGGCGGCGAGAGCCTGTAGGGGCGGCGCGCGGTCGGGCAGAGGCTGCGCGCGGGCCTGACGGGTCTGCAGGGGCGGCTCTCGGGCCTGACGGGCCTGCAGAGGCGGCTCGGGGGCCTGACGGGTCTGCAGAGGCGGCTCGGGGGCCTGACGGACCTGCAGGGGCGGCTCGAGGGCCGTACTAGCTTGCAGGAGGCAGCGCGAGGGCTGCAGGACGGCACGCGGGCAGACCGAAGGGCGGGGCGCGCGAGGGCGCACTAGCAGAAAAAAAAGGGGCCCACGAGGGCGCACGAGCAGAGAAAGGCGCACGAGGGCGCACGTAAGGTAGGGCGCACGAGGGCGCTTCTAGCGGAATAGTGGGCCCGTAGAAAGCGGTCCTAGGTGGCAACCTAGGCTCGTGATACCATGTTAGAATGAACAAGTGTGATTGAACTAACAAGATTGGGAGTACAAGTAGGAAACCCTAGAATGTTGTACCCCCTAAGGCTAAACCCACTATAGCCTATGGGGGTGTGTCAAACATTGTATATGTTTATATTCTGTAGGCTATAGTGGGTTTAGCCTTAGGGGGTACAACATTCTAGGGTTTCCTAGTTGTACTCCCAATCTTGTTAGTTCAATCACACTTGTTCATTCTAACAAGATTGGGAGTACAAGTAGGAAACCCTAGAATGTTGTACCCCCTAAGGCTAAACCCACTATAGCCTACAGAATATAAACATATACAATGTTTGACACACCCCCATAGGCTATAGTGGGTTTAGCCTTAGGGGGTACAACATTCTAGGGTTTCCTACTTATACTCCCTAAGGCTAAACCCACTATAGCCTACGAAATATAAACATATACAATGTTTGACACTCTCTCCACCCCCCTCAACCGTTAGCTTTGCATGAAAGGGGGCCGAGTCCAAAAACGGGTCACCCTGTTTTCAAGTGATAAACTCCGTCCTCCCGCTCGTAGTATGTAGACCGCAGCTTTAAGGTATTACAGGTGCGATCTGACGGTGCATGAGATTCTGGGAACAGGCGTTAGTCGAGTGTTGTTAGTTGGCGGGACTCTGTATTGCCCTTTTGTTGTGCTCGCATTCGTATGTCTGGTTAGGTCTGGGTTGGATGCCGGCTTGCTGGGCCAGGCAATTGTGTTCCCTTGTGTGCTGGAAATGTGCTGTTCGACATTGCAGGCACGGTCCGGCGCGCGAGACACTGCCGCCAAACCACCTGTGATATCCGGTAACCGCATTCCTGGCACTGTACCTTGCCTTGATATTGTACCTTGTCAGACGGCACAGGTGTACACTCGGTAACTGGACAAGTGATATCGGGGTACACCTTTGGGTACTGTCAAATTTGACGATAGCATTGACGTAACATTTACGAAAAAATCAGGAGTGTACAAAGTTGGACCCGCCCTGCGTGCGAGATTTTGATTACAAAAGACTGACGATAATATAGGGGGAAATCCTAGCTAGGCGAGAACCACGGGAAAACTAGGCTCGGAAGTTTGGCGAATAGTGCAGGGCGACTCGTGGTTGTTTGGGCGGGTTTGTAAACCGAACCAGCTGGCGCGAACCCTTTGGGACTGACTGAACCCTCTAAAGTGCGACTACAGTAACGACTTGTATTTCTTTACAAACAGTGATCGCTAGTCCACAACGCATATAGGTAGCATTATTAGTGTACATAAGTACTAATACTCTTAGAGGTATTTGGTTGTCCCAAATCACTGAAAATTGTGGTTTCTGTGTGGTTCGATTCGGTTCAGTTCGGTTGGTCAACCTAGAAGAAAAAACTGCTAACTGAATCTCCGAAAGCAGGCGAACCTTGAGTGCTCTGCATGTGATCGAGGCTTGCACGGCAATGGCGCTGACGATTAGGCCTCGACGTCACTAGCTAGGCGTAGGAAAGAGCACCCTGCGTCATGTGCCCGTCAGTGGCCCTCGCCCCCTTGCTCGCAATCTAGCGCGTTACCTTGGCGGTCGACTAGAGCTGATCGTTAAAGCTCTACTTGAGATTGGAAGAGGAAATTCTCATTGTTTCTAAATACCTTTATATCGCGAACGCAGCGATGGACGACGATGGCGAGGATTGCGTGTACTTCGGGCGTGCGTTGGAGCGCGCGGAGGGCGCGGGGGGCCGCAAGCTGCACCTGGCGGTGGCGGAGGGGCGCGCGAAGCAGGCGGTGCCGCCGTGGCAGCAGGAGGCGCGCGACGAGGAGGGCAGGCGGCGGTTTCACGGCGCGTTCACGGGGGGCTTTTCCGCGGGGTACTTCAACAGCGTGGGGTCCAAGGAAGGTACTTGCACCTGCCATAGGTTTGGAGCCCAAAACGGGTGAGAGGAAGCAAAAGGAGGGGTGCATGGAAGGTAATTCCACGCCCTGCCGCCATGCGAGCGTGCGGCACCGGCGCGCTCCCCCGCCTGCTGTTCCCCTTGCTCCCTCTATCCTCCTCATCTCTGTTTCCTCAAAAGGGGCGAAAGGGCGAGGGGCGACGGCAGCATCACTCATCCCACTGCTCTCCCCTTCCACCCCCCAAAACTCCCTCGTCCCCCCTCGTCCCCCTCCCCCCCACCCCCCCCCCCCCCCCCCGGACCGGCCACCCCAGGGTGGCAGCCGGCGTCGTTCCGGTCGTCGCGCTCTGCACGAGCGGAGGTGAGGCAGCAGCGGGTGGAGGCGCTCATGGACGCCGACGAGCGAGACGACGCGCAGCAAGGCGCCGTGGCGGCTCACAGCGCGTTCGACACGTTCGGCTTCACCGCTGCTGAGCGCGCCCGCCACCTCGCCCCCGCCGACCGGCGCCCCTCCGTCATCCCCGGGGGGGCCGTGGCGGAGCTGCTGGCGCCCGCTGCTGACTCCATCGGTGCGACGGGGGAGGCACGGGGGTTCACGGGGTGGCAGGCAGTTGGCTGTGGTGGGTGGTGGGAGTGCAGTGAGGGAATGCGGTGGCGGGCTGGCACATGGTGGATTCGTGGGTGGGTGCAGCACGGACTAGCAGGGCACTGAGGGCTTCCGTGCCTCGCCTTGCTGCCCACGCCACTCACCCCCCACGCCCACCACCACCCATCTCGTACTTCAATTCTCTGCTCTTCACGTCTTTACCCCCTGCCCTGGCGTTCCCAACCGTATAGAGCCCCAGTACACACCATCTCCCCCCCCCCCCCCCCCCCCCCCCCCTTCTTTCTTTCCACCACTCCCCACTTCCGACTCCCCTGCACAACGCATCTCCCTTCACCACTCGCCTCCTTCCCCCCCCACGGCAGGCAAGGCGCTGCTGCGCAGGATGGGGTGGAGGGACGGCAGGGGGCTGGGGCCCCACGAGGTGGCAGCTTCCAGGAAGGTGCAGCGCGAGGGCAGACGGGCAATGCTGGCGCTGGCAGCGGGAGGGAGAGGGCGCGGGGCGGGGAGAGGAGACGAGGATGGGGAGGCAGAGGGGGAGGAGGACGACGAGGAAGGGGAAGCTTGGGGGGGTGGCGGGGAGATGGTGGGGAAGGGCAGGGGGGCGAGGGGCGGCAAGGAGGGGGGGGCGTTGGCGGCTGCAGCGGCGGCGGAGGCGGCGGTGGCGGCGCAGCTGAGGGCGCGCAAGCGGGACACACGGGGGGTGGGGTTCGATGCTTTCCAGGGCGCTGAGGATGTGCGAGGTGGGGCGCGCAGAGGGGTGGTGATGAGTGCCATATTTGGAATGTCCGCTTGGCAATACTGTCTGCCATGCTTGCAAGGACCACTGAAGCTCTACTTCCTCCCCGTTTCACTCACACTTGCTTATCATAACTCCTTCATCATAACTCCTTCATCATAACTCCTTCATCATAACTCCTTCATCATAACTCCTTCATCATAACTCCTTCATCACTGCTTCCCGCCTCCCCCCACCCTGCCTCGCCCCCCTCTCTGTTCTCTGGGGAGTGGGAGCAGAGCACAGGCAAAGGACGGCAGGAGGGGCGAGGGAGGGAGGGGAGCGGGTTGGAGAGAGGGGTCTGGGTGGGCGGCGCAGGGCGGGCGGCGGCAGGCAGTCACTGTTTGCGGCGGGCAGTGGGCGGGTGGCGGGGGGGTTTGGCATCAGGGCGCTGGAGGAGGCTGGGGATGAGGACGAGGATATCTACGACTCCGGTGAGATGCTGTGCGGTGGAGTGCGGTGGTGGTGGGTGAGGAGCGAGGGCGTGTTGTGGTGCGGGATTAGGTCAGGCAGCAAAGGAAAGGTTGAGTGCACGTGGTGGCATGGTACCATGTGAGTAGCTTCCTTGCTTTCCTCTTTCACTGCGCCCTTTTCTTCATGCGCACTGCGCTCACCCCATCGCCCTCTCCCTCCGTGCGCCCTCTCCCCATGTGTGCCAGAGATACCGGCGGGCGAGCTGCAGGAGGTGGAGGAGGATGACGAGGAGGGGGAGGGGGCGGGGCGAGGCGTGCATGCTGGCGGGGGCTTCATGCTTGAGGGAAGGCGCGGGCAGCAGGGGGCGCAGGGGTTGGGGCAGCAAGGCATGGCGTGGATGGGAGGGGTGGGGCAGGGTCGTGGGAGTGGTGCCGCTGTGCTGCGGGGCTTCTGTGAGGGGCGCGTGGCACTGGAGGAATGCAAATGGTACTTCCGCCCCGCATGTGCTGCCCTTGCCTCTCCCGCACTTCCTGCATCCCAAAGTGTCCTGCTGCCGCGTGCCTGCCTGCCCACCACGTGCTCCCTGCCCACCACGTGCTCCCTGCCCACCGCACTGCTTCTTTCCTTGGCTGCAAGTCCCCGTTCACTTCCACTCACGCTCTTGTCACCCAACCACACCTTTTCACGCATGTGCTGCTCTCCTCCCTCCCACCCCCTCTCCAGCTACCCGCCTCCCCACGTGCCCTCCTCCTTCACGCCCCGCCACGTCTTCCCCTCCTCCCCGCCCCCCTCCGCCACGTCAGCGCCCTCTCTACTGGCACCGCCGCCAGCCCCTCCCCCAGCGGACTTGGCGGTGCGGGCAGCAGTGGAGGGCGTGGCGGCCATGGTGGCGCGCTGTGGGGCGCACGTGGAGGCGCTGCTGCTGCCACGCACGGGGGGAGGGGGAGGGGCGGGGGCGGGTGGAGGGGAGGCGCAGGGCATCAGCGCGAGGGGGGAAGGGGGAGGAGAAGGCAGTTTGCCTGCCCCTGCGCGGCTGGCGTTCCTGGTGGGCGGGGAGGGCAGTGCGTACTACCGGCGGCGCGTGTGGGAGCTGGGGGAGAGGCAGAGGGCAGCGGAGGGCAGGGCAGCAGCGGGCAAGGCGGTGGGGAGCAGTGGGGGGGAGCGGCTGGGGCCTGATGCGCGGGGCGCGCTGTTGGGCGAGCAGCCATTGCCTTCCACCCAGCCTGCCCCTGCTCCACCTCCATCAGCACACCTCACACCCACCTCAACTGCTTCTGCTGCTGCTGCAGCTTCTGCCTTTACTTCTGCCGCATCTCCTGCTGCTCCCCCCGCCCCCACCGCGCCGGCCTTCCAGCAGCACGGGGCGGCGGCTGAGCTGGCAGCAATGATGGCGGCGCGCTTCCACAGCAGCGGGCACGAGGACCGGGCGGGCAAGGGCGGCATGAGCACGGAGAAGGCGGCGCTGCCTGCTGCAACCATAGCAGACACAGCACTGGCAGGGGCGGCAGCAGTGGTGGTGGCGAGGCGGAGGGAGGAGGCATGGAGGCCGCTGCCTCTGCTGTGCAAGCGCTTCAACCTGCCCGACCCGTACGCGGGGAAGGTGAGCTGGACGTGTCACCCTGTGGGCTTAGTTGGGCATCTCATATGTTTGCATAATACATGTAACCTCATTGAAAGTTTGTATGCTGCGTATCATGTGAAAATACGTTTAAGTCCTTACGGGCTGACCAGGAAACAGATTTCCCCGCTGCTCCCTGCCGCTTCCCACACATCCACTCTCGTTCTTCTTCCCCCCGTGTATTCTGCCCGTCTGGTCCCACTGCCATGCCTGCCGTCCAAGTGGTTCACTCTGCTTGCACGCTGCACCTCTGCGCCGCACACTCGTTCGGTTCTTTGCAGTCAATCCTGTCACAGCACATTGATCCACTCGTTGACCTTTTCACACGGCTTTCTTCTCTCTCCTTTCTCTTCTCCTTTGCCTTGGTCCCTACACAACAGGCCCCTCCCCCCCCTCTCCACCGTCCCTCTCAGCTCGACACCCTCACCTCCTTCCCCCAAACCCTCCCCTCCTCCACGCCCGCCCCAACTGCTGCCCCCTCGCCTCTCCTCTCCCTCCCTACTCCTCCTCCTGCTGCGCCTGCCATGCCTCCTGAGCGTGATGGGTGGATGGGAGGGCCCGAGCAGGGACACATGAGGGAAGCGATTGGGGGAAGGAAGGATGATACAGGACGGGGGGGAGAGGAAAGTGCAGGAGTGTGGGAGGGGGAGGGGGAGGGGGAGGGGGAGGGGGAGGGGGAGGGGCAGGCAGCAGCGGAGGCGGTGGAGAACCGCCCCATGGATCTCTTCAAGGTGCCCCTCGCCTGCTCTCCCATGGTCCCATCCCCTGCTCTTGCCGTTTTCTCTTTCTCTTTTTTCGTCACTCTTGGTAGTCGTGAAATTTTTACATTTGTGTTCCGTTAAACACTCACGTCACCTGCTTCTGTTTCCCTGTCACCTTACTGCCCTCTGCTGCGAGTTTGTGACTCCAACTCCACCTGTCCCGCCACCCTGCACGCTCCCCTTCGCTCCAGGCAATCTTTTCGGATGATGAAGACAGCGACGACGATGCTCGTGCCACATCCGCAGCGCCAGGTGGCATTGATGACGTGGCAGCGGCAGAAGCTGCCACGCGGGCTCTTGCCCGGCTGGAGGCAGGTGACTTCCTGGAGGGGCTGGGCGAGGAGCTGGGCTTGCAGGTGGACCCGGGGGAGGTGCGACGCGGGACAGGGGGCGAGGGCAGGCGAGAGGAGAGGGAGGGCAGCAAGGGTGCGAAGCGGGAGAGTAAGGCGGGAAAGGGGAGGGCAGGAAAGGAGCACGAGGGTGGTGTGTGGGGCCAGGGGGGTGATGGCGCTGGCATGGCAGGCAGTGCAGGGGTTGCAGTTGAAGCAGGGCAAGCGGAACGAGCAAGAGAAGGAGGTGATAATGTGGCAGGTGGAAGCGGGGCGAGTGAGGCACGTGTGGGGCAGAGTGAGCGGGGAGGCAGTGGAGACGGTATGGGTGATGCAGATGGAGGCACGAGGGGTGGTGCCATGGGGGAAGGAAGGGGCGCACTTGCTGCTGCCGCTGCTCCAGCTGTCGCTGCTATCAAGAAGAAGAAGCGTGTGCTGACGTCATCGTCGTCGTCATCAGCATCGTCGGGGTCTGACTCGGAGAGCGCAGGCTCTTTGTCCGGTGGAGGGGATGGGAGGAGGAGGAGGAAGCAGGGGGTGAAGACGAGGAGCAAGAAACGGTCACGAGAGACTGATGGGGGAAAGAAGCGAAGGAAGCGGAGGAAGATACGAGACAGTGGGAGTACAGGAAACGAGGAATCAGATGATGCAGCGAGGAGGAGGAGGAGGAAGCAGCACAAGAAGAAGGCATCGGGGAGAAAGCGGCACAGGGGAAGGAATGGCAGCAGCAGTGAGAGTGATGGGAGCAGCAGTGACGGTGAATACAGTGGAAGTGACAGCAGCAGCGAGAGGAGGCGCACCAAGAGCAAACGGCGACATGGTGATAAGAATGGGCGCAAGAGGCGGAACAAGTGACGTGATGGGTGGATTCAATGTTTCAGAAGCCATGTGGTATACATGGTGATGAAGTTTTGGCGGTGGGAGTTGTCGAAATTGTCAATGTGTCCTGCCGTATATTGAAGCCCGCGGCCCAAATTGCAAGGCGCGCGGCGTGGGTCAACTTTTTAAAACTTAGATGTCGAAGGGTTTGCACCAGCGTTGTGCAGTTTGGGATTTTGCAAACTCTAAATAGGTGTATTGTAATCCCCCATATCGTTGACCCGCCGAAATAAAGCACCTGTGCTTGTCCGGGGTGCGTGTATTATACTAGACAATGATGGCAACACCCCCTTTTAGCCGAATAGATACTAGCACCCCATCCCCTCCCCCACCATACCGTATTTACGCATTTCCGCAGTTCTGTTTAGCCGGAAAAACTACCCAACATCTGCACGAGCAAACAAATTACACTACGATCATCCTGTCTTATGAGATACTCCTCACTTCCACATGCATCAGTTCATCGCAAATGCCATGTATCCCATCCCAGCCCAGCACATGCCATGCATCCCAGCACATGCCATGCATTGCAGCACATGCCATGCATTGCAGCACATGCCATGCATTGCAGCGCATGCCATGCCTTGCAGCACATGCCATGCATTGCAGCACATGCCATGCCTTGCAGCACATGCCATGCCTTGAAGCACAAGCCATGCCACATGCCATGCACCCCAGCACATGTCATGCATCCCAGCAGTATCATTTCTCCACGTCAATCCACGGCCGTTGAACCGTGCACAACTGCTCATTGCTCCACCCGCATTCGCGCACACACAGCCGGGTAACCTGCCTCTCATCCACTATTGGCTGCAACCATCCCGGCAGCACGTTGTTAAAGCCCACATCCAGCTCCTTCAGCTGCGGCACTAGACTGAGTTGCTGCAGGAACGCAGCACGCAGCCTGCAGCACTGCTGCACCTTTAAGCGCTCCAAACACTTGAGTAAGAAAAGCCGAGAAAGGACATTGTAGCTGACTCGTGTAGCTGATAGGTCCAGGGATGTGGCATGCTGTGGCTCCCCCCTCTCACGTGTGAAGCCACATCCACACTGCATCCAGCCAGCCCCAGGTCCCTCAACTGGGAAAAGCCCCTGATGCATCCGATATCCCTCAGGCTAGTACCAGTGATGCGGAGAGTGGTGAGGCATGTGAGTGCTGTGAGGGCTAGCAGGTGCTGATCACTGCGTGCCACCCCATGCACGCCTAGATGCTGCAGCCCGTGCATCGCACCCACCACCTCCCACACACTGCTATCCACGCACGGGTACGTGGGGTTATTCAGCCCAACGTCACAGTCACACCTGCGCTTGCTCTTTGAAGTGGGGCGCTGGCAATCTCTGGAGATTTTTTCAGCCGTGCAGAGTCACCCCTAGTTGCACGTGCAGGAGAAGGCCTCAAGCGCCTTCAACACGCCCACCTTGCGCAGCACTGAGTCGTCCACACAGCTGATGTGCAGCACCCTCAGCTTCTCATACGGCTCCTTGGTCAGACCATACGGGTCAAACGGCAGGTAGTAGCCCTGCACAGCCATGTGGATAGGGCCTGGACAGTCCAAGAGGAGGCGGTGCAGGCGGGTGAGGGGTGGCAGAGGATGTTGTGCGTCACACGTTTCAGCGGCCGCCACGCAGGAGAGCGAGGTGAGAGAAGGCAGCTCGCAAAGGCGGGAGAGGGTGATGGGGGAGAGGCGGGAGAGGGTGGGGGAGAGGCGGGAGAGGGTGATGGGGGAGAGGCGGGCGAGGGTGATGGGGGAGAGGCGGGCGAGGGTGATGGGGGAGAGGCGGGCGAGGGTGATGGGGGAGAGGCGGGCGAGGGTGATGGGGGAGAGGCGGGCGAGGGTGATGGGGGAGAGGCGGGCGAGGGTGATGGGTGTGAAGAATGTAAATTGAATGATTAGCTTCATTAGGAAACAAGGGGGGCATACATAGGATGCAAAAGAAGCTTGGAAGGGAAGGGGAGGGAGGTGTTGCTTGGGGGAGTAGGCCAACCTATGGCCCATTGGGGTAGGTTGGCCACACTTGGAGAGTGGGCCAACCTATGGCCCATTGGGGTAAGTTGGCAACACTTGGGGAAGTGTTGTCAACCAACGGCCCATTGGGTTGGGTTGGCAACATTCCCAAAGTGTTGCCAACTTTAGGGACCAATGGGTGCATTTGGGGGCTCCACCACAATTGGGTTGGATTGGCACCCCAAAGTGCAAGACTACACCCAAAGTTGGGTGTTGTCCCAACCCAACTGTACACCACACTTGGTGTACAGTCACAAGTACTTAGCATGCTATATATATATATTTTTCTAACACAACCCCTTAGCATGCGAAGACAAGAAGGGGACAACCCCTGAATCAAGGGGCGCCCGGGCGAGCAAGGCCGATGAGGCGGAGGAGAGCAGAGTGCGCAGGGCGAAGGAGGGCCTTGGTGAAGATGTCGGCCAAGTTGGCCTCGGCAGCAATCTTGCGTACAGCAAGAAGGCCGCGCTGGACGAGCTCGCGGATGAAGAAATAGCGCAGTTCGATGTGCTTGGAGCGGGCGTGGTAAACAGGGTCCTGAGTGAGGTGGATGGTGCTGGCATTGTCACACCAGAGGGTGGGGCAGGGCTGAGGGGCGCCAAGCTCAGCAAGAAGGAAGCAGAGCCAGTGGGATTCCTGAGCGGCCATGGTGCCAGCGTAGAGCTCGGCCTCGCAGGTGGAGAGGGAAACGGAAGAGGAGCGCGTGGAGCGCCAGCTGACAAGGCCGCTGCCGAGGGTGAAGCCGTAGCCCTGAGAGGAGCGGCGGTCCGGCTGTGTGTCGGCCCAGGAGGAGTCGCTGAAGCCCGAAAGCAGGGGTGGGGAGGGGCCACCAAGAGTGAGAGCGTGGTCCTTGGTGCCGCGAAGGTAGCGGAGGACCCTCTTAGCAGCTTTCCAGTGCACCTCCGTGTGGCGACCAGTGCCAACAAAGCGAGCGAGCACGCTAATGGGGTAGGCGAGGTCGGGGCGGGTGCACATCATAGCGTACATCAGCGACCCAACGAGCTCAGCATAGGGGCGAGTGGAGGAGGAGGGAGAGGCGGGTGGGGCAAGCTGGTGGCCAAAAGGGAGGGGGGTGGCTATGGGACTGGCCTGCGCCATCTCGAACTTCTCCAAGACCTGGCCGATGTAATGGGACTGGGAGAGGGTGATGGTGCGAGCAGGACGGTCGCGAGTGATGGCCATGCCCAGGTAGTGCGTGAGGTCGCCCAGGTCCTTGCACTTGAGGCGCTGCTGCAGCTGCTGCTTCATCTGCTCCATGTCAGCCTTGGAGTCAGCGAGCAGGATCATGTCATCAACATACACCAGAATGAAGAAGCGGCGAGGTGAGGAGCGAAGGAAGAGACTGGCGTCAGAATGGGAGGCAGAGAAGCCGAGGGACCCCAGGGTGGCAGACAGCTTCGCGTGCCACTCCCTTGGCGCCTGCTTCAACCCGTAGACAGGTCGACGCAGCTGCCACACAGTGTTCTCTGGAAAGGCGGCGTGGAACCCAGGGGGCCGCCGGAGGAAGATGCGCTCGTGCAGGTCCCCTTGCAGGAACGCGTTGGAGACGTCCATGGAGCAGATCTCCATGTTGTCGCGCGCACCAACGTCGAGGAGGGTGTTGAGGGTGGGCGGCTTGGCGGTGGGGGCGTAGGTGAACCAGTAATCCTCAGCCCAAGTTTGGGTGAAACCCTTAGCGCAGTAACGGGCCTTGTAGACCGGATCCTCGCCCGGCAGCTGCTTCACTCGAAAGACCCACTTGCCCTCGACAAGGTTGCCGTCGGCCGGGAGGGGGACATCAACGAAGGAGTCGTTGCGAATGAATGCCTCACACTCCAGGAAGATCGCCGCTATCCACTTGTCCGCATCAGGGCAGGTGATGGCCTCTTGAAAGGTGGAGGGAGTGAAGATGGTGGGGGTGGAGGTGGCGCCAAGGACGGGAAGGCCAAGGAAGTCAATGAAGATGGAGGCAAGGAAAGGAGTGTGGTGCCGAATGTTGAGGAACTCCTCATGGGAGTCCTCAAGGAGTTGGATGGAGGCGGGAGGAGGGGCTCCAATGAGTCTGTCCAGGGAGCGGGTGTGCATGCGAGGGAGGAGGAAAGGGGAGGAGCGGGAAGTTGCGCGGTGCTGCTGCCGCTGCTGCTGCTGCCCCTGCTGCTGCTGCTGCTGCCCCTGCTGCTGACCCGGCTGCTGCTGCTGCTGCTGACCCGGCTGCTGTTGCTGCTGCTGCTGCTGCTGCTGCTGGTGCTGGTGCTGCTGCTGCTGCTGCTGCTGCTGCTGCTGCTGCTGACCCGGCTGCTGCTGCTGCTGCTGCCCCTGGTGCTGATCCGGCTGCGGCTGCTGCTGCCGCTGCTGTCCGTGCTGCTGACCCGGCTGCTGCTGATGCTGCTGCCGGCCCGGCTGCTGCAGAGAAGGGGGAGAGTGAGAGGAGGAGGGAGAGGGGGGAGAGGGCGCAGCTGAGTGGGCCGGGGAGGCGGGTGTGGCGGGGTCGTAGACGTCGGCAGAGGAGGACGGAGGGAGTGGAGCAGCTACAGGGGGGAGGAGAGGAGCGGGAGGGAGGAGAGGAGGGAGGACAGTGTCGGTCCAGGCGAGGGGGCGAGAGGGAGGAGGGAGAGGGTCAGGAGGAGGAGTGGAGTAGTAGGGAATGGACTCGTCGAAGACGACGTCAATGCTGCGGATGAGGCGGTTGGTGGGAGGGTGGAGGAACAGGTAGCCTGGGGAGTCGCGATTGTGCCCGAGGTAGACGCACTCCAGGGCACGAGGGGCGAGCTTGCCTGCGGCGCGGGAGCGATCGGCCGGTGGGATGAGGACGAAGGACTTGCAGCCCCAAACGCGAAGGCCGGCAGCGTCAGGCTTGGCCTTAGACCAGAGTTCTGTGGGGGAGGAGGAGGGATGCTGAGGGTGGGAGCGGAGATTGAGGAGGAGGGCGGCATGGAGGAGGGCGTAGCTCCAAAGGGAAGGAGGGGTGGAGGCGTGAGCAATGAGGCAACGGGCAATTTTGGTTATTTCACGAATGCGACTCTCAGCAATGCCATTTTGCTGAGGGGAGTGGGGGAGGGTGGAGGTTTGCTGAATGCCATGAGTTTTGCAGAAGGTGGCGAGGGTGTTGTTGATGAACTCACCCCCACCGTCAGAGTGAAGGCAGCCAATGGGGCGTTTGAAGTGAGTGTGGCATTGCTCAGCCCAGGTGATGACCACAGCCGGCACCTGGTCTTTGGTGTGAAGGAAAAAGACAGTGGAGTACCGACTGTGGTCGTCGACGAGGACGAGCATGTACCGGTGCCCCTGACGGGAGCGGATGGGATAGGGACCCCAGAGATCCATGTGGACAAGGTCAATGGGAGCGGCAGCAAAGGTGGGATGGCTGTGATGAGGGGACTGTTTGAGCTTGCCATGAATGCATGATGGGCATGGGGAAGCAGGGGAGGAGGGGAGGGGAGGTAAGGTGGGAGGGAGGCTGTGGAGGAGGCGAGAGGTGACAGTGGTGCGAAGTGCGGCGAAGTTGGGATGGCCGAGTCTGTGATGCAAAATGATTGCTGGGTGGGAGAGGGCAGTAGAGGAGGAGGGGGATTGGGTGGGAGAAGAGGTGGGGAGGGAGGAGGTGGGGGTGGAAGTGGGGGAGGAGGATACCTGAGGGGGAGGGAGAGGGGGAGGAGGACTGGTGGAAGTACCAGCACGAGTGGTAACATGACAGAAAGAGGGACGAGGTGTGCGGAGCGTGTAAAGGCGAGTGCGAGGGCAGAGGGGAATGCGCAGAAGGAAGCGACCAGAGGCTGTGTGGTAGAGATCACAGTACGTAGCAAAACCAGGGTAAATGGCGGTAATACCGACACCTTGGAGCTCTCGGTGAGAGAGGAGGTTGTTGCGAAGAGTAGGGATGTGGAGACCTGTGACCCTACCGGAGGGGAAAGCGGTGCAAGGGAGGGTGGAGAGGTGAGTGCATGGGATGGAGAAGCTGGAGTCAGCACCATGAACCTGGGTGGGAAGTGGAAGGGGGGTGAGGGTGCCAGCGTCTTTGAGTGCAGTTTTTGTGGCCCCACTGTCAAGGACAAAGTCCAAGGTGGGGGAGGAAGGAGGGGGAGGTGACACGGGGTACTGGAAAGACGTCTCATTGATAGCAGAGGGATACATGGAAGCGACGGATGGTGCAACAGCAACATGACCAAGGAAACTGCCTTGGGAGTCAGGGACACTAGGGGGGGCAGAGGGGATGGAACCCCAGGGGGGGGGAGCAAGGGAGGCATGAGCGGCCATGGCCGCTGTGCCGAAGGTCATCGGCTGCTGCTGCCACTGCGGCTGAAGGTACTGCGGCGGCTGCTGCTGCTGGAAGAACTGCTGCTGCGGTGGCTGCTGCGGCAGGAGAAACTGCGGCTGCTGCGGCTGCTGCGGCTGGAGAAACTGCGGCTGCTGCTGCTGCGGGAAGTACTGCTGCTGCTGCTGCTGGTGCTGCTGAAACCGCTGCAGCTGGGATGGGGGGGAGGGGGTGAGCAGGCGGAGGTGGGCGGGGAGGAAGGAGGGGAGGGTCTGAATGTCGAAGAGGGAGGGGCGAGGGGTAACACTGTTCCAGCGAGGAGGGGTACCAGTGTTGCCGCGGTCGAACCAGGCGTCATCAAGCGCCTTGAAGCATGTGGCAGGGGGGTGGTTGGTCTGACCACACGGCGTGCCGGCGTGGGGACCATGTCGGCGAACGTACGTGCAGGGGGGGAGGGTCCCAGGGCGACCACCACGGCTCACAGCTCCACCGGCACCAGAGGAACCTCCAGGAGTGGTACCACCAGGGCCACCACCTCCACCACCACCACGGCCACTACGGCCACCACCGCCACCACCCCGACCACCACCACCACCTCCGCCCCCTCCACGACCCCCTCCGCCGCCGTTGCGACCACCCTGGTTGCGCGGCTGCGTGGCATTGAGGGAGGTGGAGGAGGAAGGAGTGGTGGTGAGGTTGACAATGGGGGTGCGGAGCTTGACCTCCGTGTCAATGATCCACTGAGTCACCTCGGTGAGGCCAGCCAAGGGGTTTGCTTCGGTGAAGGCGTGCAGGCGGGACTCGTAGTCCGGCGTGAGGTTGAAGAGCAGACGATGAATCTGCAAGGGCTCGGAAAGGGCAGCCTTGCGAGCGGCAAGGCGATCGGCTACCTCCTGCATGCGCCCCACGTAGTCGACTGCGCCGTCGCAGGTGGCGAGGGAAATGGAGAAGTACTCCTGGAAGAGAACGCCGACGGAGCTGATGTCGCGGCGCTCGAACATAGACTGAAGCTCGGTCCAAATCAGGTGAGCTCGCATCTCACGAGCTTGGAAGCGGCGCATGAGGGCGTCGGGGAGTGCACCGAGGAGGATGGTGCAGGCGCGGTTGTCGGCAGCGGCCCAAGCGATGCTGTTGGGGATGTAGGTCGCCATGGAGGTGGTATAATCCGCAATCAGCTCCAGGCGAGTGGCACGCTCCGATGATGCAAATTCGTGGTTGAGCACAGCAACGTCATGGTCGGCTTTGCGGATGAGGTATTCGCGGCGGTTGTGGAGGAAAGTGGCGTCCGCAGTAGCCTGAAGCTCGGGGGTAGCGGCCACGTCGAGGGTAGGCTCACGAGGAGGGGGGCCAGGAAGGGGAGGGAGAGGAGGAGGTTCGCCAGGGTGATTGGGTGCGGTCGGCTGGAGAGCCTGCGGACGGCGGAGGAGAACGTCAAGGACGCAGTAGGGTCCGACGAAGGCGTCCTGAGGGACACGGCGGATGCTGCCGACGAGCGAGTGCCAGTTGATGGCGGAGCGATCTGCAGCAAGCTGCAGCTTGTCGACCGAGGAGGCGTCGATGGGAGGGGGGAGAGGAGCGGGAGGGGTGGTAGCCATGGTGGGCGGCAGCAGGTGGACCCGCGGCGGCCAAGGGGGAGACGACGGCGGGTGGACCCGCGGCGGTCAAGGGGGAGGCGACGGCGGGTGGACCCGCGGCGGCCAGGGGGAGGGGGGGGGGAGAGGGGGGGGGCGCTGCAGTTGGAGCTAGTGCACTCCGCCGGCTGCTGCTGCTGCTGGACCTCTCCGGCTGTTGCTGCTGCTGCCGCTGCCGCCGCTGCTGCCGCTGCTGCCGATGCTGTCGCTGCTGCCGCTGCTGCCGCTGCTGTCGCTGCTGCCGCTGCTGCTGCTGCTGCTGTTGCCGAGGAGAGGGGAGAGGGAGAGGAGGAGGGAGAGGGGGGGGGGGGGGGGAGGGGAGGGGAGGAGGATGCAGTCACGGGTGCGGCTGTCGCTGCTGTCGCTGCTGCCGCTACTGCCGCTGAAGCCGCTGCTGCCGCTGCTGCCGCTGCTGCCGATGCTGCTGCTGCTGCCGCTGCTGCCGCTGCTGTTGCTGCTGCCGCCGCTGCTGCTGCTGCGAGGAGAGGGGAGAGGGAGAGGAGGAGGGAGAGGGGAGGGGAGGGGGGGGGGAAGGAGGATGCAGTCGCTGCTGACGTTGCTGCCACTGGTGATGCTGGTGCGACTGCTCCGCTGCTGCCGCTGCTGTCACTGCTCCGCTGCTGCCGCTGCTGTCACTGCTCCGCTGCTGCCGCTGCTGCCACTGCTCCGCTGCTGCCGCTGATGCCACTGTTCTGCTGCTGCCGCTGCTGCCACTGCTCCGCTGCTGCCGCTGCTGCCACTGCTCCGCTGCTGCCAGTGCTGCCGCGGCTAGAATGGCGGGGGGGGAGAGCGGTGAGGGGGAGGGGGGAGGGTGCAGTGGCGGCGGAATATGCAGGGGGGTGACGGGGTCGCGGTGGCGGGATGGGCAGGTGGCGACGGAAAGGTCGCGGCGGCGAGATCAGAGAGCGGCGACGGAGCGGTCGCGGCGGTGAAATTCGCGAGCGGACAGGCGCGGGCGGCGAAATCCGCGGCGAAATCCGCAGGACGCGGTGGCGAAATCCGCCGCGGTGAGATCCGCGGGCGGAGAGGCGTGGGCGGCGAAATCCGCGGCGAAATCCGCGGCGGCGAAATCCGCGGGCGGAGAGGCGCGGGCGGCGAAATCAGCGGCGAAATCCGCGGGACGCGGCGGCGAAATCCGCGGCGGTGAAATCCGCGGGCGAAATCCGCGGGACGCGGCGGCGAAATCCGCGGCGGTGAAATCCGCGGGCGGAGAGGCGCGGGCGGCAGAATCCGCGGCGAAATCCGCGGCGAAATCCGCGGCGGAATCGCGGCGGTGAAATCCGCGGGCAGAGAGGCGCGGGCGGCGAAATCCGCGGCGGTGAAATCCGCGGGCGGACGGGCGGCGAAACCCGCGGCGAAATCCGCGGGACGCGGCGGCGAAATCAGCGGCGGTGAAATCCGCGGGCGGCGAAATCCGCGGGACGCGGCGGCAAAATCCGCGGCGATGGAAATCGCGGAGGGAGAGGGAGGAAAGGGGCCGCGACGGAAAGGCACGGGCGGCGGCGAGGAGGCCGCGGCGGGAAAGCGCCGGGATGGGGAAGGGGGGAGGGGGACGACGGCGACGGAAAGGTCGCGGTGGGAGGGGAGGACGACGGCGACGGTGGTGTCGCGGCGTGTGGGAAGCGGATGGTGGGCCCTTGGAAAAAAAAAAAACTGGAGGGGGGAGGGAGTTAAGGCCTAGGCAACAATCTAGCTCTATACCATGTGAAGAATGTAAATTGAATGATTAGCTTCATTAGGAAACAAGGGGGGCATACATAGGATGCAAAAGAAGCTTGGAAGGGAAGGGGAGGGAGGTGTTGCTTGGGGGAGTAGGCCAACCTATGGCCCATTGGGGTAGGTTGGCCACACTTGGAGAGTGGGCCAACCTATGGCCCATTGGGGTAAGTTGGCAACACTTGGGGAAGTGTTGTCAACCAACGGCCCATTGGGTTGGGTTGGCAACATTCCCAAAGTGTTGCCAACTTTAGGGACCAATGGGTGCATTTGGGGGCTCCACCACAATTGGGTTGGATTGGCACCCCAAAGTGCAAGACTACACCCAAAGTTGGGTGTTGTCCCAACCCAACTGTACACCACACTTGGTGTACAGTCACAAGTACTTAGCATGCTATATATATATATTTCTAACAATGGGGGAGAGGCGGGAGAGGGTGATGGGGGAGAGGCGGGAGAGGGTGATGGGGGAGAGGCGGGCGAGGGTGATGGGGGAGAGGCGGGCGAGGGTGATGGGGGAGAGGCGGGAGAGGGTGATGGGGGAGAGGCGGGAGAGGGTGATGGGGGAGAGGCGGGAGAGGGTGATGGGGGAGAGGCGGGAGAGGGTGATGGGGGAGAGGCGGGAGAGGGTGATGGGGGAGAGGCGGGAGAGGGTGATGGGGGAGAGGCGAGCGAGGGTGATGGGGGAGAGGCGGGAGAGGGTGATGGGGGAGAGGCGGGAGAGGGTGATGGGGGAGAGGCGGGAGAGGGTGATGGGGGAGAGGCGGGCGAGGGTGATGGGGGAGAGGCGGGCGAGGGTGATGGGGGAGAGGCGGGAGAGGGTGATGGGGAAGAGGCGGGAGAGGGTGATGGGTGAGAGGCGGGCGAGGGTGATGGGGGAGAGGCGGGCGAGGGTGATGGGGGAGAGGCGGGCGAGGGTGATGGGGGAGAGGCGGGAGAGGGTGATGGGGGAGAGGCGGGAGAGGGTGATGGGGGAGAGGCGGGCGAGGGTGATGGGGGAGAGGCGGGCGAGGGTGATGGGGGAGAGGCGGGAGAGGGTGATGGGGGAGAGGCGGGAGAGGGTGATGGGGGAGAGGCGGGCGAGGTTGATGGGGGAGAGGCGGGCGAGGGTGATGGGGGAGAGGCGGGCGAGGGTGATGGGGGAGAGGCGGGAGAGGGTGATGGGGAAGAGGCGGGAGAGGGTGATGGGGGAGAGGCGGGCGAGGGTGATGGGGGAGAGGCGGGCGAGGGTGATGGGGGAGAGGCGGGCGAGGGTGATGGGGGAGAGGCGGGAGAGGGTGATGGGGGAGAGGCGGGAGAGGGTGATGGGGGAGAGGCGGGCGAGGGTGATGGGGGAGAGGCGGGCGAGGGTGATGGGGGAGAGGCGGGAGAGGGTGATGGGGGAGAGGCGGGAGAGGGTGATGGGGGAGAGGCGAGCGAGGGTGATGGGGGAGAGGCGGGAGAGGGTGATGGGGGAGAGGCGGGAGAGGGTGATGGGGGAGAGGCGGGAGAGGGTGATGGGGGAGAGGCGGGCGAGGGTGATGGGGGAGAGGCGGGCGAGGGTGATGGGGGAGAGGCGGGAGAGGGTGATGGGGAAGAGGCGGGAGAGGGTGATGGGGGAGAGGCGGGCGAGGGTGATGGGGGAGAGGCGGGCGAGGGTGATGGGGGAGAGGCGGGCGAGGGTGATGGGGGAGAGGCGGGAGAGGGTGATGGGGGAGAGGCGGGAGAGGGTGATGGGGGAGAGGCGGGCGAGGGTGATGGGGGAGAGGCGGGCGAGGGTGATGGGGGAGAGGCGGGAGAGGGTGATGGGGGAGAGGCGGGAGAGGGTGATGGGGGAGAGGCGGGCGAGGGTGATGGGGGAGAGGCGGGCGAGGGTGATGGGGGAGAGGCGGGCGAGGGTGATGGGGGAGAGGCGGGCGAGGGTGATGGGGGAGAGGCGGGAGAGGGTGATGGGGGAGAGGCGGGAGAGGGTGATGGGGGAGAGGCGGGCGAGGGTGATGGGGGAGGGGCGGGCGTAGAGGCGCGGGCAGACGTGGGCGGCGAGCACGCGCAGATAGTGGAGGCTGTTGTTGAACCTGCCGCCGCTGAAACCGGGGTCTGAGATAGTGAGGTGCTGTGCGGTTGGATCGTGGAGTGACGGGAACTCCCTCACCTCCTCCATCTTGGCTCTCCAGTGTCTCGCCTGTGTGGGCAGTGGAAGCTGCTCGAGTAGGACTCAATCTCCCCTTCTACTCGCTGCTGCCGTCCTTTCTCCTGGTATGCCCGGTCTTGCTCTGCTCGATCCCGCATCGCCTGGCTAGTTTGAGCAACGTCAGTGCAGTCGGCGTCAGAGTTGGTCCCACTCCTGCACCCTCATTCCGCACTGCCCCTTGGCCCCCTTGTGCCCCTTGGCCCCCTTGTTCCCGTTGTCTCCCTTGCGCCCCACCTCCCCCTTGCACTTCCTGTGCTTGAATTCCATTCCTGTCCATCCCACCTGCCATTCCCGCCCCTCCTGCAGCCCGCGCCCTGCTCCCCCCTCCCTCCCTCCTCTCACGCCTCCCATTCACGCACCCCCCAGCACCTCCGCCTAAGACCCCAGGCCCCACCCGCTCCCTCTGAGCTAGTCTGGCTGCTGTGAGGCGCACCCCGGCACAGGGTTGAGAGGAGAGTGGCTGCATTCAGTGGAACCAAGTGGTACAAACGCGGAAAGGAAGCATCACAATTCCCATTTTCACCCACAACTCTCATACACCTTACGTCACTCCTCTCATCACTCCTCTCATCACTCCTCTCATCACTACTCTCATCACTACTCTCATCACTCCTCTCATCACTCCTCTCATCACTCCTCTCATCACTCCTCTCATCACTCCTCTCATCACTCCTCTCATCACTCCTCTCATCACTCCTCTCATCACTCCTCTCATCACTCCTCTCATCACTACTCTCATCACTCCTCTCATCACTCCTCTCATCAATCCTCTCATCACTCCTCTCATCACTCCTCTCATCACTCCTCTCATCACTCCTCTCATCACTCCTCTCCATTGACAATCACAGCCTAGTTTAACACGCGCTTTCCCAATCCCCAGCTTACAGCATGCCGCACCAGTTTTGCCATCTGATTCGCGCTAGTCATCGCTGTCACTATCCCCCCAGCCGCCACCAACATGCATGTCACAGTCACTGTCCAACGAGAACTCATGCTCAATGCCATCATCTTCACCGCCACTCTCCTCCTCTGCTGCCTCCTGGCCCACCTCTTGCCTTTCCACTGCCACATCACCTCCCTCCTCCCCTTCTTCCTCTCCCGCATCCCCTCCCTCCCCCTCCTCCTCCCCCTCCTCCCCCTCCTCTCCCTCCTCGTCCTCTCTCCCTGCAGGAACCCCTCTCGTGTCTCGGCGGGATAGCTGAGGGCATTCAGTAATGTCGCACTCACGCAACGTCGGCATATTGCGGAGAGAGGAGGGCAGCCGAGTCAGATTCTTGCATTTGCACAACTCCAGCTTCTCCAGCTGAGGCAGCCGAGTCTGGCAAGCTTCGTAACTGCTTCAGTCCCAGAGTCAGCAACTTCTGGAGGGATGAGAGCTTCCAAATATCATCTGGTATGTTTGAAATGCCGAGCTTGATAAGAGAGCAGGACCGTAGATTGGATAGATTCACGAATGACTCTGGAAGCTGCATCAGCTTGTAGCAGTCGATAATCTCCAACGCCTTGAGCATTTTCAGCTGCCCGAGAGACTCGGGCAGGTGCCGCATTGTCGAGAGGTAAACCAGCTGCAAAACACGCAGCCCTGCGAGCCCTCCAAGGGTCTCGGGCAGTGCTTTCAGGTGAAAGGCCGAATCAATCTTGAGCCTTTGCAGGTGCGAGAGTTGGGAGAGAGACTGAGGGAGAAAGTCAAGTTTGTCCACCTCGAGGAGCTTCAGCTGCGTCAGAGAGGAGAGGCGACCGAGGGATGGACCAAACGACTCCACATTAAGCGCTTTCAACTTGAGGCTCAGAATGGAAGGAAGCAAAGGGCGGCTGCTGCTCGTGCAGGCGATGCTGGTGACAAGTCCCCTGGCAGTGCGCCTCAGCACCATCTCATCGCCTAGCACAGCGCTCAGCGAACCACACGCCCGCACGTCCAATGCCCTCAGACGAGGCAGCTCAAGAAGTGCCGGAGGGAGACATATCAGGCCGCACATCTCAAAGATCCTGACCTCCTCGAGTGCCTCCAGCCGGCCGATCCCCTCCGGCAGGACCGTTAATTTAGGGCAGTTTCCAACTTCCAGTCTGGTGAGGGAAAAAACGCCCGAGAAGGAGGCAGGAAGGGCGGATAGTTGTGGCATAGAATCGAGCGACAATTCCTTGAGGCTTTTCAAACAGCCAATGCCGTCCAGCAGCGCACCCCTGAAGCGTTTCGCGCATAGAATCTTGAATGTTTCTAGAGACGCCAGGCAGGAAAATGATGGAGGGAGGTGGGTGAGAGCTGTGCAGTTGAGAAGAAGCAGATGGCGCAAGGAGTGCAGACCCTTCCCCATGTCGTCTGGCAGCACCGTGAGGCGCGGACACATGCTGATCTCCAGGTGCTCGAGAGAAGATAGCTGGCATAGGGAGTCGGGGAGTTGCTGCAGCTGCCTACACTCCAACAGTTTCAGCTCCCGAAGAGCTATCAGCTGCCCGAATGTTTCAGGCAGGCGTGTGAGCCGTTCAAGGCCTTTCAGAGACAGCTTCTTCAAAGCAACCAGCTGCCCGAACTCCTGGGGCAGATATGTCAGGTGTTGAAATATATCGAGGGAAAGCTCTTGCAGTGTAGTCATCAGGGGGATGGACTCAGGTAAGGCTGTGAGACTTTGCAGATTTAGCACGAGCCTCCGAAGCGTTGACAACTGCCCGAATTCTTCGGGCAGCACTGAGAGTTGTCCCATGTCAAGGGTGAGTTCGGTGAGTGCAGGCAGGCGAGGGAGAGACACGGGCAGAGTCGTGATGTCACTGCAGCCCTTGAGCAATAGAGTCTTCAGTCGTTGCAAATGCTCCACATCCGCAATCAAGTCGCGCATTCCCCTCACTTCAACCATGATGAGGGTTTCAAGTGCCCCCAGTTGACCGAAATCGACCTGCGACGGAGCAAGAATGCTGCAATGTCGGAGCTCCAGGGCGGCGAGAGAAGAAAGCTCGGTGAAAGAGGCCGGCAGCTGCAGCGTAGAGCAGCGACTCAAGGAAAAACGGTTCAGAGCGGTGAGCAGCCCAAAAGAGTCCGGAAGTGACGCCAAGCTGCAAACGTGCAGCTCCAGCGACGTCAAGGAAACAAGATTGCGGAAATCTCGAGGCAGGGCTTCGAGCCGATAAGTGTCCAGCACAAGGCTTCTGAGAGTCTGAAACGAGGTCAGTGTGTCGGGAAGGCGCTTGACGCCGCTTGCCACGAGGTGCAGGTGCTTGAGGAGAGTAAGTCCGTGGATTGACGTGGGAACGGCGGCATGATCCGAGCAGTACACAGAGATATCTTCCAGCCGCGAACACCCCTCGAACAGCGCAATGAGGCTCTTCTCGGTTACATCTCCTTTATTAGACCAACGGGACATTGTTTCGACATGAAGCTGGGTCAAATGGTGACACGTGCTAGCGAGGTGAGAGAATAAATACTTAGAGGTGGAGGTGAGGCTGCACGAGGAAAGGATTAGCCTTTTGAGGTTCGGAAACGAGGACAGAAGCTGAACAAGCCGGCGCGTATCCATACGGAGATTATGGGGCAAACGGAGCTCGTATTGCACGCGGCACGCGATAAGATGCCATTGCTTGCTAACAAGTGCGTGCTCCGGCAGGCCATCAGGTCGAACCAGAAAGCGCATGATCCGAGAAAGAAGCCCCTCAGGTAGCCGCTGGATCGGCGATTCGACTGGCATTGTGAAAGGAGGAAGAACAAGATGACTAGCTGTTCAACTTGTTGATACTGCTAATCAGGTAATGTAACATCCCAAAAAAATGGGCTTCCAAAAGCTACGGCAAAGCAACTTTGCGGTAGCTCTATGGTTGGTTTTGAGCGCCCTAGCTTGGGGTTGCTGGCAAGGTTACACTGAAGCTGCTGTTGGGCTCGCGACAAAACAGGGAAGAAATCGCGACGAATCTGAGCCGCTCATCTTGACTGATTTGAAGCTGCTTTAGCGTAACTCTCATTGTGGTTTCGCTTGCACAGAACATAGAATTTTAATCTGGACCGCACATCGCCAGATTCCCGAAGCTACTCTAGCGTAGCTATGAACATGAGCAAAACCATACATGACAGGTGTCTTGCACCTATTCCCGGCTTTTGAAACATGATGGTACAAATAGTCGCAAGCCAATCGGATTTGTCTAACAAACTAAACGGAAGCGAGCTTGCTCGAAAGCCATGCTAACGGAATTGTTTCTCAGTTACGAAACTGGTTACGACCCGGTACAGTGATTCAGTAGGTTCGATACATAGAATGTAAGGAATTTACCAGTTCCTTAATGTAGCCTTGCCTTAACGGGTACAGCCCGAGCACTTCGCGTCAGGTGGCTCGGCCTACACTTCCGCACCGAACCAATGCCGAGTCGCCCCGCACCAATCGTGACACATCCAAACCATCCACGTCCCGAGGTCCTCGCCTAGCACGATTTCGACCCTATAAATGCCCGTTCCTTAATCATATTCGGCATTCTGTACTTCACATCCATTTTATAAAGTCTTCCGCGCACTTTGTTTAGTACAACTCATAACACTTGGTATCAGAGCTACTTTCCTAGCTTCCCCGTTTTTTAGAGTGTATTACCCCTCGGGGGGGGGGGGGAGACAGGGAAGGATGCCGTGGTGACAGGAGCAGCGCAAGTGTTGGGATAACCGAAAGGTTATCACAAGCATTCCCGAAGACTCTCCACTATTGCATCTCTTCATAGCGAAGCAGGTGCTTGTACCAGTACCGCATGAGCTCGTATAGAGCACGCGGAAGTTCGAGGGTCACCCGAAGGTCAACAGTCGAAGACAGTCAACGGTCGTGACCCTTGACTACCCAGTAACCGCACAAGGCAGTTACGAAATGCAACATGGTAACTGTCTAGAATGGCAATAGTCGCGGGTTACTGTAGCAATGCAATTCAGTTAATAAGGGAATGTACCCCTCAGAGTACATGGCTAGCTAGGCTTTCTATTTATACTCTTGTACTCCTATCTTATAATCATCTTGTTCTCTTTCAATTTATTAACAAGGTCATTACAGAGACTTCACAGTTCTCTCCCATATACTTGGCAACCTTATCCTATCCACTACGATTCTTAGTTATAACATCATGGTATGAGAGCTAGAGTGGATTATAAGGCCTGCTAAGTTCTTGTTCTTGCTAGAACAAACTCCTTATAAATTGTTCCTTACAACATCAAAGACTCTGCATCACTATGGCTCCAGAAGGGAAAGCCACTGCAGAATCTCCGGGCCCACCATCAGCAACACCCACTGCACCATCTGCGGTAACCTCCGTCAGCGCCGCTCTCGTTGAGCAGCTGGTCGCCCGCATCAATGCTCTTGAAAGCCATCAAGCCATGAGCATCGATGGCTCAAGCTTCGCACGTGGGGTTGCTGGACTTCCTCTCCCTGGAGAAGACCGCCGCGTCAACTCTGAGAGATCTTTCACGTTTGACAACCGTCAAGCTTCAGCTCCTGCGCAAGACAGTCAACAACGCGCACACGCAGAAACGATTTCAGCAATACATACAAAATTCGTTCTGACATCAAAGCTGAAGACATCAGTCCCTTTCAACGGAAAGGACTTCTACACTTGGAGCTTCGAGTTTGAACTCCTCGCTACCAATGCGCAAATTTGGATGTACTACGACGGGAGCTTACCGTTTCCAACGGAAGGCACCATCCAAGAGAAGAATCAATACTACCACGAATCTCTTCTCGCGTACACCACTCTGCTACGAAATCTCTCCCCCGACAAACAGCTAGGCATTCGCTCCTATAAATCAGAGTGGGCACCCACGTATGCCTCCTGGGAGCACCTGCGCAACTCATACATGGCAACAGATCCAGTTACAATGAGTCGCCTCCTCAGCCAGCTCACGTTAGTCAAAATGCATCAAGGGGAGAAAGCGGGACCATATATAAACCGGTGCCGCAATCTGCGCGATCACATCAAGAAGTGCGGTGGATCAGTCCCAGACGACATGTTCATCTCAATGGTTCTTTCTGGCCTTGGTCCCGACTGGCGTCAATGCCAATCCTTGCTCCGCGCTCGAGCAACTGTCTCCGAACCGGCTCTGTGCGCCACACTCCTCTCCGAGCAAAAGGAGATCGACCTGTACAACGAGAAGAACACCAAGCGTGAGAAATTAGTCTTCTACGTTGGAGCAACTGAAGGGGAGCAGCACGGAAAGAAAGGAACTTTCTGCAAGTACTGCAAGAAGCCTGGGCACACTATCGATCGGTGCTACAAGCGAAAGGCAGCCGACGAAAGGCGTAACAACTCCTCAAACCCCTCTGCGCCTTCCGCCTCAACAACCACCGTCTCGCCTCCCTCCGTCGCAAGCACCTCGCAGACACCTGCACGCATCACGACCAAGGACAAAGGCAAGGGGACAATCATGAGCTGCATGGCTCGCCGCTACAGAGGTTTTCGATACTATGATTGGGTAACATTTGCACTTGATAACCCTATCAACCCTGTTGCGCCCAGGCAGGACAACGACCCCACTGCCCCTACCCGGTACGACCTACAACAAAGGCACCCACCTGACTTCGAGCTGCCGCCGCCGACACCAGAATCACCTCCCAGCATTTCGGCGAACCGGTACTTCGCTCTCTCGCCATACACCGGCGAAATGGATCGCGTGGTCACGCCGAAAATCGCCAACATTGCGCGACAGAGCCGCGAAAACATTAACACCTGGTACCTGGACAGTTGCTGCGGGCAACACATGGTGGGATCGCCAACATTCATCACCAACTCCAAACGCATGCGACGACCCTGCGAGATCACAGTGGCAAACGACGGCACACTCAAAGCATACGACATTGGTGAGATCTTCCTCGAAGCTGACGACACACACTTCACGATTCACATCGGCGATGTGCTCGTCGCTCCAGATCTGCGATACAACCTCCTTTCTTCGGCTCAACTTATGCGATGCGGAGTCGATATTCGAAGCAACCGCAAGGACAAGACCTTCGAGCTTTTCTACGGCAACACTTACATCGGCAAGGCCGTGGATAACGACGGGGTCTTCGTGCTGCAGTTCTCAGCTCAGGGTACCTCAGGAGATTCTCACCGCACCCTGCTGTTGAAAACGACCACTGCAGAAGCTCCAACCTGGTCACATCCCACAGAAATGGATCTTGAGCGACCTGCCTCGGACGGCCTCCTACGACTGCGTACGGTCCCGACAGCTTCCACCTCCAACCCAGCTGAGACCGGACCTGCATCAATGGAAGAAGACATCGGGACGTCAGCATCTGCGGAACAATCCGCCAAAGGAAAGGAGAAGGTCGGAACCGAACCAGTCAGTCCTGGCCCTGCACTCGGTCCCTTGGGAGAAGTTCTAACGCCAGAAGAAGTAGCGGCAGAAGGACGAGACACCATCTCGGCAACGGAAGGTACCGCCACTGCTCCTGCAGACGCTGACACTGGGGACTGGGGAACTGGAGGTGGCTGGGGAACCGGAGGAACTGGAGGTGGCTGGGGAACCGGAGGAACTGGAGGTGGCTGGGGAACCGGAGGAACTGGAAGCGGCTGGGGAACATCAACTAGCGAAGAAGGTTGGGGGCAAGCTGCCCCTGCCTATCCCGAAGCTCCGGGACTCCCTTCA